TGGAGGAAATCCTAAGGAATCTGCAAAAAGCTATTCTGAGATGAGAATAAGATCAATAGAGTTGCAGGATGCAAGATAAATATACAAAATTCTATTGTATTTCCATGTACTTGCAGTGAAAAATTTTGAAGTTTCATTAACAATAGTATCAAAAAGTGCAAAACTTTAACTCTGAAAAGTAAACATTATTGAAAGAAATTAAATGTCTAAGTAAATGGAAAGACATCCCATATTCATGGATCAGAACACTTGATAGAATGAAGGTAATTGCTCCCTAAGTTGATCTAAAGATTCAACACAATCCCTATTGAAGTGCCATCTGGCTTCTTTGCATAAATTGTTAATCTGGTCCTAAAATTCATATAGATATTCCGAGAACTCAGAATAGCAAAAACAGTCTTGAACATTGAGGACTCACACATCCTGAATTCAAAACTTACTAGAAAGCTATAGTAATCAAGACAGTGTGGTACAGGCATAAGGCCATACCTATATATCAGTGGGATAAAATTGAGAATCCAGAAATAAACAATAAACCTTCACATTTATATAGACAATTGGTTTTTTTTTTTTTTTTTTTTTGCATTACGCGGGCCTCTCACTGTTGTGGCCTCTCCTGTTGCAGAGCACAGGCTTCGGACGCGCAGGCTCAGCAGCCATGGCTCATGGGCCTAGCTGCTCTGCGGCATGTGGGATCTTCCCAGACCGGGGCATGAACCTGTGTCCCCTGCATCGGCAGGCGGACTCGCAACCACTGCGTCACTAGGGAAGCCCTAGGTAATTGGTTTTTGATGAGAGAAACAAAACAATGAGGGAGAAGGAATGGCCTTTTCAAAAGGTGCTGGAACAGCTCTATGTCCACATGCAAAAGAATAAGTGTGGACCTTCTCCCTCACTTTATTACTAACACACATAAAAATTAACTCCAAATGTATCCAAGAGGTAAAACAATAAAATTTTTAAACAGAGATAAATCTTCATGACCTTGGATTAGGCAGTGATTTTTTTTTTTGGATATGACACTAAAAGCACAAGCAACAAATGAAAAAGTAAATTGGCCTTTATCAAAATTTAAAACTTTAGTTTCTCAAAGTGTACCATCAAGAAATTGAAAAGACACCCACAAAATGTGAGGAAAAGTTTGGAAATCATGTCTATAGGGACTCAGATCTGGAATATATAAAGATGTCTTACAAGTCAACCATGAAAAGTCAGATAACCCAATTTTGAAGTGGACAGATGAGCTGAATAGTCATTTCCCCAAAAACAATATACCAGTGGACAATAAGCTCATGAAATAATGCTCATCATCATTAGCCATAAGGGCAGTGCAAATTAAAATGACAGTGAAGTCATCACTCACACCAAGATGCAATACTAAAACAGACAGATGATAATGAGTATTGATGGATGAAGAGGTGCTAAAATTGGATCCCTCATACTTTCTTGGTGTGAATGTAAATTGGTCCAGACCCTTTGGAAAACAGTCTGTTTCTTAGAAGGTTAAATGTAGAGTTACTGTATGATCAGCAATTCCATCCTTGGGCATATACCCAAGAGAAATGAAAACCTGTTCACACAAAAATTTATACGTGAATGTTCATAGCATTATTTATAATAGCCAAATCTGGTTCTTTAGCAAGATGTGAATATCCAGAGTTATTCTTGAAAGTACAGTTTACCCTTGAACAACATGAGTTTGAACTATGCAGATCCACTTATGTGGGTATTTTTCAATAGTAAATATTATAGTACTACATGATCTGCAGTTGAATCTGCTGATGGAGAATTGTGGATATGAAAGCATCATAACCACATATATGAAAGGCCAACTGTAAGTTATATGTGGATTTTCAACTGCACGAAGAGTTGAACCCCAAACCCTATGTTCAAGGATCAAATGTGTGTGTGTGTGTGTAAATATAATGTAAGAGTAAAGTAAAACCTGGGATATAAAGTTCTAAATTCAGTGAAAAGAAATCTCTTGACCTCAGTGGTTAATGAAATGTTAGCTGAAAAATGTTTTTAGGGAATGTTTAAATATACTAGGCTCCACAGAATTGTAAAGCATTTGTAGACCTTAAAAAATAGGACATTTTCAGGGCTTCCCTGGTGGCGCAGTGGTTGAGAGTCCGCCTGCCGATGCAGGGGACGTAGGTTCGTGCCCTGGTCCAGGAGGATCCATGTGCCGCGGAGCGGCTGGGCCCATGAGCCATGGCCGCTGAGCCTGCATGTGTGGAGCCTGTGCTCCGCAACGGGAGAGGCCATGGCGGTGAGAAGCCCGTGTACCTCAAAAAAAAAAAAAAAATAGGACATTTTCATACTAAAATGACATGGAGATAAACATAAATAATAAAATGTAAAACATAACAAGTTATAAAAATCAGAGGGCATAAAACCAAATGTAAACTAAAGCTTTAATGTGTCATTTACAATAAATGTAATTGGATTAAATTCTCCTATTAAAAGACATTCATTAGTTTAAAATATTTTCAATAGGTTTTATAAGAGACATCTAAAAAAAGTTGGTGGGATGAACAGCAATATATTCAGCATGAGTTTCATCACCAGATAAAATAGAATAAAAGGGACAGATTAGATTATGTTTTTACAGTTTAAAATTAATAGGATGCTTTCAAACAATTACAGGCATACCTTGTTTCATTGCACTTCTCTTTATTGTGCTTCGCAGATAGTGTGTTTTTTACAGATTGAAGGGTTGTGGCAACCCTGTGTTGAGCAAGTCTGTGGGCAGCATTTATCTAACAGCCTTTGCTCATTTGTGTCTCTGTCACATTTTGGTAATTCTTACAATATTTCAAAACTTTTCATTATTATATTGCTATGGTGATCTGTGATCAGTGGTCTTTGACGTTCCTATTGGAATTGTTTTGGCATTTTTTGGACAATAAATTATTTTCAAATTAAGGTATGTACATTGTTTTTTTAGTCTATTGTACACTACACTACAGCATAAATAGCTTGTATATGCCCTGGGAAACCAAAAACTTCATGTGAGTCACTTTATTGCAGTATTTGCAGTGTCTGGAACCTAACCTGCAGTATCTCCTAGGTATGCCAGTATACATCTGAGGGAAAGCAAAATTACTTCCCTTCCTGTAACTATATCCTAAAATCTAGATGGATTGAGGATGTAAATTATAAATGACAAATCTTTAAGACTTGAGAAAATGTAGATGACCTGTTTTTCTGACCTTGTGCTGCAGGACAGTACCACGATTCCAAAGACCTCTGTGAAATGTGGCTTATTTGCAGCAAAGGACTCAAGTCTAAATGTCAGGATGGTGATGCCAGTGATCCCCCAATTAGACTGAGTTGTTGCTTTTTATGCTCCCAGTAATAAATTTCACTCACCCTCACTACAACATGTAAACTATTTCTTCACCTTTTAGGCAGTTACCAGTACAGTTGACCCTTGGAATTATTCTTTTTTCAAAATTCTTTTATTTCTATAGCTCTTTTTTTTCAGACTTCATTTTTTTAGAGTAGTTTTAGACTCACAGCAAAATTAAGAAGATACAGAGATTTCTCATATATCCCCTGACCCCCACATGCATAACCTCTCCCATTATGAATATCCCCCACCAGAGTGGTATATTTGTTATAATTGATGAATCTATGGATCATTCTCTTCTTGATCTTGATTCTGATTAAATGGGTGTATTCAGTTTGTGAAAATTCTTTTAACTGAACACATGATATGTGCACTTTTCTGTAGGTACTTCAGTAAAATGTTTGGAAAAAAAAAAAAACCCAAAATAAAAAAATTAAAAATTGATCAACCTTGCTAGAGAAAAGATTTGGTTTGTCTTTGGGGAATATTACAAATACTGTATTCATGAAAAGGCTATCAAATATGTAGTCATATAGAGAAAATAGAGTTCTATTTTGTATCAGGCCCTTAATGAAAATGTGCTATTTTTCTGGATTTCCTGATTTTTATGTATACATAACAGGTTTTTGCAATTTGAGTTTGTGATATTTTTTCTTTTTCTAAATAAATATTCACTTAGCCTTCAAGTCTAACAAATCCTGGAACTGTTCCTGGTCAAATGATATAGTGAATGAAAAAACTACAGTAAATGAAAACTTTGAGTAAGAAAATAGATAAGGATAAATCAGATTATTCAGGTAGCTTTGACTGGGTTATTTGCACCTTAAAATGTCTTAGATTCTGTCTTCGAGTTTAATAAGTGCTCTATAGTTTGTTAGGTAACTGGTCTATCATGTATTATATAATTTTTTTTTTTTGCTTGTATTATGCCTTTAAGTGCCTTGTAATTTGGCAGTTTTCCTTTCTTTTAAACCATTTACTTACCTATGGTTCAGATCAGGCTTGATGTGGATACTGAGAAATAAATACTAAAATATTTTTCCCTGCTATGTAGTAGATTTTTCTTAAATTAATAGAAATAATTCAGAATTAAGGATGTATTGAAACCTAACTTGGCTTTCTTATTTGAACTAGCATCACGTTGTGTATTTTAGTGCTCATTTCATACTGATGATTGTTGAGAATTACTCGTGCAGTACCATTAATTTGGAAATTTGAACATTAGGAAAGCTTTAAAAAGGTGCCACGGTATGTAGAAAATGGAACATTCCACACAAAACATTGTTTTTTGTTTTTATGAAGAAATGCAACTTAATCTTTAGATTATCTAAAGTATGGCCTACTTGGATTATTTAAATCAGAACTTAATGGTTATAGTAGTGAGGTGATATAACAAAAAGTGGCCAGATAAATTATCAGACTTAGTATCAAATAGAGGCTTACTGACAGTATAAATTTTGACTTTATATAGAGTTATAGAACAAAATTTAAGTTATCAATAACAGATGAAAATGGGTATATTTTTCAATAAAAATAATTATCTAAATCTGGTAAGATTAGTTACGGCATTATTTTAATATTGTAAGTAAATGTTAACTTTTGTCTGCTAGAGATATTCATTTAAATATGGTATCTTAAATTCTAGGATATGAAAGATGGCAAGTCCAGATAGAAGTAAACGGAAGATTTTAAAAGCAAGAAAAACAATGCCTGCAAGTTGCCGGAAGCAAGCAGAGATCCTGAATAAGTCAAAGAATGTTGAAGCACTAAAAACAGCAGCAATTGGGAGTAATGTGTCAAGTAGTAATCAGAATTCAAGTACTGATGTCATAAGTAGCAAATGTAGACATTCTGAAAATGATGCTTCCTCTTTGGACTCTATAAAAATTTCAGTATGTGCACCAAAAAGTAAAGTATTTTCTCAGAACTTAATAAAACCACTAGAAATTGTTGATTCGAAAACAAGATTAGAATACACTGAAGAACAAGTTGTGTACTCTTATGAAAAGCCAAGTAAAACAGTAGAATCTCCCAGGAAACTCTTTACACAAGACGCAAAAGATTCACAAAACACTTTTGAAAGCCATTTTGAATGTCAGGCAAGTGTAACACGATCCATTTTTGAACATGAAGAGGATTGTAATCTGAAATCCATTTGCTGTCCATCCAGTGTATTGAGTGGTGTAGTTCAGATGTCAAAGTCTACAATAACCAATACCTTGGATGATAAGAGAACTGACAAGATAGTTTCCTATTTAGAAACAAACTCCAATTCTGAGTTTCGTGATAAAAGACAAAATAACACTTTAACTTTAAATTCAGATATCCCTTTTGTGCCTGTTGATAAAATACCTAACTTGGTAAATTCAGTCATTTCTAGTAACTGTGCTGCTGACATTTTGAAAAGTGAAGAATCCTGTAGAACCTGTCATTCCAGCATTTTAAGTTGTGAAAGTACAGATACAAAGTGGCTGTCCTCATTTGACACTGATAGTAATAACAGTAAGTGCATACTTACGTATCTCTTGGAGAAGTTAAAATAGTTACTTTGCTTTGGGCAGTTTCATAATCTCAGAAACAGTAGAGTACACATAGACAGGAAAACAGTAAATGATAATTATTTCAGAGTATCTTATTTCTGAACCATTCTTGGCGGGGAGGGGGAATGGTATCCTCTATGTCCAAAGGGAAGTAAATTCTGGCAAAGAAGGAATCAATCACTTTCCTTTGAAAGTACAACAAAATCAAAAGGTGGTTTATAGAAATTGCTTGGTTTATTTCATTTACACCTTTTCTTTTTTTTGAAGTTTTATTAAATTTATTAATAAGGAGGCTAGTTGAAAGGCAGAGTGGGTTTTTTAAATAGTTGAACCCATTTCTTTCCATAGAATTGGCCTGTATATCACATGCCAAGTGTAAGCGGATAGATAATAAGAATACATACAGGTTTGTGTGTAAAGTGAGAAACTCATCAAATAATTAACCAATGAAGTTCTAGGGTTATAAAGTTATTAAAATAGCACAAGTAAATTTCATTAAAAGGGTGTTTTTGTAGGTTAATGAAATATAAGAAAAACTTGATTTACTAGGATAAATTGTATTTGTGTTCTTATGTATGCTACAGAGTGATCATTTAACAAGGTGAATTTTAAATTGCTTAAAAATAATAGTAGGATCACCTATTAAAAATATGTAGGACTGCCTAAGTAACTCTAAAAATAATGTAAGACCACCAAGTAAATAACTGTAAACAGAAGATCAAACGCTGTAATTTATTGTTTTTGTTAGTATTAAGTGTATATTAAATACTCTGGAAGGAAAGTATATCTGAGACCAGGACTAAAATACTCTTTTTTTTTAAGGATTAGTTTGTCAGAATTTTTTATACATTTTCTAAAAAATACTGCTGTGGTCACATTTTAGTTTTTTAATTTGCTTAGGGGTCCCTAAATTAGAGAATTCCCCTGTTTCCTTCATTAGAAGGAGTATTTTTCTGTCTCATCTTTCCATCTCCCCAAGGCCATAATCAAAAGAAGAGGATGTTTTCAGAAATCAAAGAAAATGTTAAGCGTGTGAAAACTTCAGAGCAAGTTAATGAAAATATTTCTCTAGCTCTGGGAAAGCAAACAGCATTGCTGGAACAGGTAAAATATTGGGCTTAAATATTTGCTTCAGAAACTTTTACTTTTGATTAGTAAAAAATGGTAAAAGTTAATTGATCTAAACAATGAGTACAGATAACTTTCATGATGCAGGGCAGGTATATGAAAACTGAATTATTAGCAGGTGGAGATATTAGGGAAAAATAATTGTTTACATCACCAAAACATCTCTAGATCCTTCAAAATGATCCTATGCAGAGTAACCTACAGAATCACATGAAGGTAGAGTGCTGTGGTAGAAAGAGAATGGGCTTTTTAGTCAATATTATGCTCAAATCTCTTCAAGTCAGACACTACATGACCTTGAGCTTTGTGAACAATTCTGTCTCTTTTGTACTGGTCATGGTGTTCTTGATCTACAGCTATAGCTGTTTATTACCACAATTGACCACTACTTCATAGACCCAGGCAACCCGGAAGTTCATTACAAAGTCCTGCTACATTCAGGTTTACTTGCCCTAATTTCCAAGAAATTAGGGAAAGGTTTACTTACCCTGATTTACACAGATATGGTGCATTATCTGACGTTTTGCTTTTATAGCATCATTAAGTGTACTTTTCCTTTTCTTTTTGCCCCATTTCATCTCATTGTACTACAGTTTCCATTAATGTCTGATCAACTCTGACTTTAAGTGTAATGAGCTTCAATTTTAGTAGGTCCTGTATCAGGACTTGTTTTGATGATCATGTTTTGCTATTTTATTACCACTGAAATGCCACAACTAAAAGTCATTATGTGATAGATTGTCGTCAGCTATAGTGGACAAAAAAATGTCCCAATCCAAACTATCCTGCTGTTTCAGAAACAAAAACACTGTTTCTAAAACAGGCCATTACAATTACATAGTTACATGTTATATCAACATATATTCACATAATAAATGGAAACCATTGAAAGACTCATGCAGAATCAGCTTAAAAGGTGAGTCAATACTTCCCCTTTCTACTTCTTATTTTCTTCTGCAAGACCAAAGGAGACATTAATAAAAAAATATGTAAATATTCTATTGTTTGCAGGGATGGGGTAGTGGAATTATGTTAAACATGGATCTAGCTTAAGAAGTTGGGGATTGCAGCTGTGTTACTCTCAGTGATTAGTAGCTGATTTCAGAAATAAGTTCTGATATGGACATATAAATACAAAATTTAATCTTTGAACATTTTAATTTCACTGGCACAGAAAAATCAGGGTTTTCATTCACCACTATTATCTACCTCACAAAAAACTTGGTCCAAGTTGACACAGAATATGGTCCTTGCCAGTGAGGTTGAAGGAATGCAGTTTATTTGTTATCCTCCCCCACCACTACCACCAGAAGTTTCTTACATTGTCGGGTGACAGCGTGGGTTTTAGCTAATTCCTATCTTTTATCTATCTCTCAGTAACTAGCTCTCCCTCACTTGGTATTTTAATTCCTGTCTGAACAGTTAACTCTCTAAACCACATCTCTTTGTTTTTCTTGTTTGAATCCCAGCGGAATAGGGCCTCTCATTCTGACATTGTTCTTCCCTACTGAGAGAGTCCCAGAGCAGTTAACTCTTATCTTTTGAGGTTTCAGAAGGATCTTGGCCTGGTTGATTCCAATTAAATTACTGAAGTAGAGGGGTTTTTCTTCCGAAGTCCAAGTTGTTAACCCTACCCACCATTGCAGAAAGTTGAGGCAGATAGGGGATATATATATATGTATATACACACACACATACACACATAATTTCCAGTTTTTCTCCAATCTTTAGGCCACTTTGCCTACCATCTGCAAATTGTAGCTAGGACTTCATCTGATTCCATAATTTTTGACACATTACCATCTGCAGAAGATATTTATGAGGTATTTGGTGGAGGTTATTGTGTCTTCCTTCTGTATGAAGACCATAACCACTAAATGAGAACAAGTGTGTACTCTACACTAGAGGACGCATGCCTTGGAGGGCAGTTAATCCAAAGTAACCAAGTTTTAAGAGTCTGCCTCCATCTGAATCACCAGGAGTACTTGTTTAAATTGTGGTGTCTTCAGCTCACTACTAATTGTTTTAAGCTTCTCTTTTCTCAGACTTAGCCGATAAGAATCATTAGTGGTGCCAGGCCTCTTTCCAGGCCTCTTTTCAGGAAATTGGTGAATCAGGGTAGGTCCTAGGAATTTGTGAATTTAACAAGTATTCCATATGATTCTTCCTTACCAGGGAAGTTTGACGAACACTGTATGGCTTTTGCTTCTTAGCAAAACAGTATTTCCATATTCAAAACAGTTAAATATGTATTCCAAGATTCATCAGGGTATGAACTTCACATATTGACCTCAGCCAGTGAACTGGCAAGCATGCAGTAATCCATAAAAACCACACATGGGGACAGGTAATGGCTGTCAGTAAAAATAGTATGATTTTCTGAGCACTTATTTACATAATACATATGTTTTGAGCAGTTATTAATCAGATATTTAAAAGTTGTGAGAGTACAAATGACAATCATGTCTAATAATGTTGAGAAACCACTGTAGAAATGTTAATGAAGCATTACGGAAGAAATCGAGTAGATGATAGTGTTGGAGATCAAGAACAATAGGGAATGAAAAGGAAAAACCTTGGGAATAATCAAATAAAATTACTGAATATGACTAATCATCTAGGTGACATCAGTATAAAGGAGTTTAACATAGAAACTATGTGCTACAGTTTTGAGCACCAAGAAACAAGATATTATGGGAAGATATAAATATTACTAATAAATACCTTAAATATATCATGACAGAATTTGTTATTAAGAGAGACTACCTACTCTGTTGTGAAAGTTGCTAAAAGGGGCATATACATTGAGCAAACACCTGCAGTGGATATTTCTGAATGTATGGCTCAGCAAAGCCATCATATCAGTAGGCATTGAGATTAATTATGCTACCTGAAAATAGGCCAACCTATTTTCTGAAAACTAGCCAGATAATGAAATTCATTAATGTTTCATGTGCTAACTACTGTAGTCTGATAGAATAGCATGCATTATGCCAGATAGCATTAGTCACATAATTGCTTTTTTCACTTTAACAATAAGTCATCCCCTCCCCCTGCAAAAAAAAAACTAAAGGAGATTATCTTGTATATTTATTTCTTTCATTTCAATTCAGTGTTTTCCATTTTATGGAGCTCTTATGCATATTATCTTTTTATGTTCTTATGAAAATCCTATGAGCATCACTTGTTCAACATTGTATGACATCTACCCATTTGTGGACCAGGAAAATGAAGCTCAGAGATGTTGTGACTTCCCGAAGGTCATATAGCTTGTTAATGGTGGGCTCAAGGCTCAAATTTTCATAATTTCCTTTCTGTCTACTACAGATCAACCAGCCATTTTCACTGGGCTCTGGTTTTCAGATAAGTGGAGTCCCTTTTTATAGAATACTAGGTTTCAGCTATGGTCATTAAAAAGTATAAATGGGATATATATAGACTTTTACTATTCCTTTAATTTGTATTATGGAATTCAGCCAAAACTGTAGGAAACTAAAATTAGCACTAGGAGAATAAATTTAATTTCTAACTTACCCATATATTTAAATATTAGATGTGTTCTGCTGAATTTGCTATTTAACTTTTATAAACCTTATTGACATAGTAATATAAATACATAAATAAAGAACCTTTTGTTAGTTACAATAAATCCAGAAAAGAGCAAAGCTGTTTTTAAGAAGTAGAAAATAAAATTGCTTTTAAATTTGAAACGTGGAGTGTTTTGGTTTTTATTTTAACATTCTAGGTCGGACATTTGATTCGACAGGAGATCTGTAGTATAAATTACAAACTATTTGATAACAAACTGAAAGAATTGACTGAACGCATTGGGAAGACACAGTGCAGGAGTAAACATGAAGCAATAGCTGATGAACTCTTCGTAAGTTTCTAATTTCATTTTATTTCATTTGAGTCCTTTTAAAAAGTAGAATTTAATGATATTTTACATATTAGGAAAGGAAAACAGTAAAGGTGGACCCAAATCTGATCCCTGGCCACAACCCTGATGTGCTATACCATTGGTAATATAAATTATTATATCTCAGCTGTATTGGCCCTTGAGAAATACTTGTAGAACCATCAGCCATTCTGTGTCAGTTCAAAATATATTCTATATTAGAGCTTGTATAACCTGTTTCAAACTTTCTTTAGGTTTTTTGTTTTGTTTTACTCTTCTAGGGTTACTTGCTAATTGGTGTTTCTACCAACATTAATTTTATTATGGACCAATTAGAAGTTTGATTTTCTTAATCTTCTATTCTTGAACATCTTATAGTAGATCAAACCTGATTTAAATGTTTGGCTTACATAAGAATTTCTCATTTATTTGGTGGATGCCTAAGTCTCACAAAATTACATTGGCAAATATTTTTCTCTCCATCTCTATATGATATATTATTTGGTACTCTGGGTTTGTATTTATTTGTTTTTCTCTTCTAGACAAAAATAAAAAAACTTCAAAGACGTATTAAAACGGTAATGTTATCTCATAGGAATTGTGTGGAACCAAACGTGGTATCCAGCAATACAGCTTGTAAGGTTGGTATAAACGTATAGGAGTTTTAATAACTTACTTGCCCCACATTATAAGTAGTTGGATTGTAAGAGCAGAATATACTTCCAATGAAGACATAGGTTTAAAAGACAATAAATTTATACTTAGAATGTTCGTCTATCTCTGGAGAAGATACCCTCAGATAGCCAAAAGTAAATGCCACCTGTATTTATTTCATAAAGTGAGTAGAGAGGTGGTTTGTGATTGCCTGTACTGCCTCCCTCCCCGCCATTTTATCATGATGAAAAATTTCAAACATAGAAAAGCTGAGAGAATTTTACAGTGAACGCTTGTATAATCAACGTCTAACTTCTACCTTTACTCTTTTAATATATTTTTGTCATGTATCTGCCAGCCTACTCATCCCCTAAGCCATGTTCATATTTGGTACAGTCATAAGTACTAACGTATTTTGTATCAAAATACACTTTGCAGTGTACACTTCCAAAATATTTCAGCATGGGTATCATTAAGTAGAGTTTAGTATCTGTTTATATTTTTTATATAAAATTTAAAATAGGGCTTCCCTGGTGGCGTGGTGGTTGAGAGTCCGCCTGCCGATGCAGGGGATGCGGGTTCGTGCCCCAGTCCGGGAGGACCCCACATGCCGCGGAGCAGCTGGGCCCGTGGGCCATGGCCGTTGAGGCTGCGCGTCCAGAGCCTGTGCTCCGCAGCGGGAGAGGCCACAACAGTGAGAGGTACCGCAAAAAAAAAAAAAAAAAAAAAAAAATTTAAATTAATCATAAGTATACATTCACTGAATTTTTTCTTATGTCTTTATTCCCTTTAGTATCATATTTGCGCTAGCCTCAATAAATCAATTGGGAAGCATTTCCTTCCCTGTTTTCTGAAAGTTTGTGCAAGATTTTTATTACTTCCTTAAATGTTTGATAGAATCCACCTCTGAAAACTATCTGGGTAAGGACCTTTCTTTGTAGGAAGACTTTTTCCTGAAAATGTAATTCTTTCATAGGTATAAAGTAATTCAGATTTTCCTATTTCATTTTGTGTATTAGTTTTGTAAGTTATCTTAGCAAGGAATTTGTCCATTTCATCTAAGTTGATGATCTTGTTGGCATAAAGTTATTGATAAAATTCCCTTGTCCTTTTAACCTTTGTAGATCTGTAGTGATATACTCTATTTCATTTCTGATACGAGTATAATCTGTATTTCCTTTTTTTCTTTCTTTCTTTCTTTTTACATCTTTATTGGAGTATAATTGCTTTACAATGGTGTGTTAGTTTCTGCTTTATAACAAAGTGAATCAGTTATACATATACATATGTTCCCATAACTCTTCCCTCTTGCGTCTCCCTCCCTCCCACCCTCCCTATCCCACCCCTCCAGGCGGTCACAAAGCACCAAGCTGATCTCCCTGTGCT